GGGGTCTCCAAGGCATTTTCAGGACAGGGGAGGGAGCAGAGAGGGTCCAGGGATAAGAAGATGGAGCAGATGCAGGTCCAAGGAGCTTTTGGTTCACCCTAAGCAGGGCAGTGCAGGCCAGGGAAAAGGATGAGTATGGGGAGAGGCAAAATCCAGGACAGCCTGGGCAGGAGGGCTCCCTGGTGGCACTGGTGACATCCCGGGCAGCCCAGCTCCTTGCACACACAGCTCCCACGGTGACACCAGGCCGGGCACCAGGTGTGACCCTGCAGCCCAGGGAGAGGAGGAGGAGGAGGAGGAGGAGGAGGAGGAGGAGGAGGATGTCGGCTCTCAGCACGTTGCCCTTCCTGAAGCCAGTGCACCTGCGGTCGCCCCGCAGCTCGCCCGGGGGCCAGCGCCGGCACACGCTGCCCGCCAGCGAGTTCCGCTGCCTCAGCCCCGAGGATGCTGTCAGCGTGTTCGAGATCGAGCGTGAAGGTAAGGGGGACCCAGGGGATCCCTTGGCATCTGTTTGCAGTCTCTCGTGCTCCTGCTAATGGCCAGCTCCCCTGCGTGTGCCCTCGTGCGAGGGATGCGGTGGCCGGGACTTGTGGCCAGGCCACCGCGGGCTCCCTAATGAGGTGGAGGAGCTGTGGTTAATGAGCTGGAGAACCACAGCTCACCCAGGGGTGGGGATGGTGGGAGGTGATGCTGAGTAGGACCAAGTGAGTGAGGAGCAGCTCTCCCAAAGCAACCTGTGAAAGATGGGATAGGGAAAGGGGAAGTGGGAGGAAGGACACTACACTGCCTCCTACTGCACAGGGGCACTTCGAGGTGCCACCCTGGCAACCTTTCCCTGCTTCCTTCACCATAGTTTCCCTCACCCAGACCCACCCAGCCCATTTCTCTCCAAGGACAGGAGCAGCCAGGGAGATGCTGAGAGGGAGGGTTCAATTCAATGCCATAGCTCTGGAATCAGCAGAGTTAGGAGCTGGTCACTGGGCGGTGGAACTGCGTCTGGAGAAGCACAGCTGCTCCCTAGAACCACTTGTGTCCCTCAGAACTCCTTCAGGCCTAGTAGGCAGCAGGACACATGCCATCTCTCCTCATCACATCCCACTTTCCCTCCTCCACATCAGTGCTGGGAGTTTTTCTGGGTTGGGTGTGCTTTGTCTCTCTCACTGTGTTCACCACTGCCCCCCTCCAGCCTTTATATCAGTTTCTGGGGACTGTCCCCTGCACCTGGATGAGATCCGCCACTTTCTGAGCCTGTGCCCGGAGCTGTCCCTCGGCTGGTTTGAGGAAGGGCGGCTGGTGGCATTCATCATCGGCTCCCTCTGGGACCAGGAGAGGCTCAGCCAGGTATGACCCTGTCCTTCCCACCTTGTGCACTGGGAGAGGCACTGCCAGAGCCTGGGGACCAGCCTCCCTGGGGCCCTGAGGCTAACCCCAAAATCTTCTCCCAGGACTAACTGCTACAGGGCTGCTCTGGTGGAAATTAACCTTCTCATTAATTAATTTAAATGCTGCTGTTAAAAAATATGCTGAGTAATTCCCATCAACATTGATTTTAAAATGATAAACCCTCCGAGGATGATGGCAGGAGGTGAACAGGGAGGAACCAGGAGGACCCTGGTTCTTTGGGGTGGGGACTAAGAGGCAGGACGGGACCCCCCTGGTCCTGCTAACCCCTGTCCCCCCCCTGGCAGGCAGCACTGACCCTGCACAAGCCGCAGGGCTCAGCTGTGCACATCCACGTGCTGGCCGTGCACCGCACCGTCCGCCAGCAGGGCAAGGGCTCCATCCTGATGTGGCGTTACCTGCAGCACCTGCGCTGCCTGCCCTTCGCCCGCCGCGCCCTGCTCATGTGCGAGCACTTCCTCGTGCCCTTCTACCAGAAGTGCGGCTTCGAGGCGCTGGGGCCCTGCGAGGTGACCGTGAGGGACCTGGCCTTCGTGGAGATGCAGCACCCCGTGCGGGGACACGCCTTCATGCGCAGGAACAGCGGCTGCTGAGGCCCCTCCGCTCTCGCCTGCCTGGGGGGATGAGAGGCTGCAACCTCTCTCCATCCCCACCACTGTGATCCATCTTCCCTGGCTGGCCCTGGATACAGCTCTCCCTCTGTCACATCCGCCTTCCAGCCACATCAGCCTGGCCCCGTCCCATCCCTGCAGGGCTGGGCACAGAAATTCCTGCCAGATCCTGCTGGAAGCATCGATTCCCCGGGTTCTGCTTTAGCCAGGGCTGTGCTGGCAGGTCTGGGTGGGCTGCAGGGCCAGGAGCCCCCCTGGGATGGAAAGGCTTTGCCCTGGGAATGGCTGGGGGCTCTGCTGGTTTGAGGGCACTTCCACCCGCCGCAGTTTGCTGAGACACCCAGCAGAGCTCCTGCAAACACGTGCCCCAGCCTGGCACCCCTCCAACCAACACCACCACCACGAGTGGAGCACACCATGGCCAAGCCCTCCCTGAGCAGCCCTCAGACATCCTTCCAGACCCCTTGGAGCACATTCCCCCTGCCCTTGGCCACCCTCAGCTGCACATTGCAGAGCCTCCCCAGGGACTCAGTCCAAACCATTTGATCCTCCCTGTCCCAGACCCACAGCTGGTCCAGGACAAGCCTTCTACAAACAACTCAGGTTGTTGGAAAGCAGCAAATAAAGATGTGGTGGTGATTTTCTACACAGCCCACGTGTGTTCCTGCCCTGCTTTGATCACGACCTCAGCACAATGGCCAGAGGGAGGGCACCTCCCTGGTACGAGGGGAAGCAATCCAGGACCTCTTGGGCCACCTCAGCCCCAAGGGAGAAGGGGAAAATCCAGGCTCAGGTCATTCAGTGAAGGGTGGGATAAAGGCAGGGGTGGCTCTCCCCTCAAGCAGGATCAGGAGGTTCCATGGTTACAAGTGTTTGGCTTCTTCTGCTTGAGACCCTCCAAGTCCTGTCTCCTCCCAGGGAGGGGTTTGAGTGGCCCATCAGGGCACCAGCCCCAGCTTGTCCTCCCTCCCTGCCACACCAGCCATCACCAAAACAACCAGAACGCCCCAAAAGTGCTGTGTCCCCACACCCAAGAAGGGAGAAAAGGCCTCATGCATCTCATTAAATACAGGTAGAAATTTATTAGGAGGGGGGGAACCCTCAGCTTTTTAAAAAAGTATCAAAAAGAGACAAAATGAGGTGAAGTGTCTGTCTTTGGCTGGAGCAGCAACTGGGGGGACAGAGTGGAGCTGAAAACTGGCCCAGGGTGGAGGGAGGGATGCAGGGACGGATGCAGATGCTCCTGGGCTCACTCAGAAGTGGTTGTAGAGAGGGAGCCAGGCCCTCAGCCCTTGAATATTCATCCCAGGACATCTGAACTGGAGGACTCCCACCTGCCCCCCTGCTTTAAAAGCACTGAGGCCTCCAGCACCAAAGCAACACATCTCAGGGGAGAGACAGCCTGGCACCAGCCTGGGTCCAGACAGCCCACAGGGGTCACCCAGACCCCTGGAAGGACCTGCCTTTGTACCATGGCTGGTGGGAAGGAGGAGGAGATGCTGGGGAGAGCAGAGCAGGGCTGGGGGCAGGTGGGAATGTGCAGCCTCGGGCAGGGAAGAGGGAAGGTGACTGCCCCATCCTGCACTTCCCCATCTGACCAGCACCACTGGAGGAAGGGAGGGCTACCAGCATCTCCATGCTTTGACAAAGGGAAAAGGGAAACAGCAGGGACTCAAGGTAGAAGGTGGGAGCACCAACAGCTTCCTGAGAGGTCTGTGAGCTCCAGAAGCAGCCACACGAGCTCCCCAAGGGGTTCTTCTCCATGTCTGCCTCGCACCATGGCACTACAAATGTGGTCCTTGCCACTCCTCCCCTTCCCAAAAGAGAATTTCACTGAAATAAGGGAAAGACAAGCCCCATGTCCTAAGTCCTGCCTCTCCATCCAGTGAGGAGTCATGTAGGAAGGCACAAGCCTCCTTGGGGGCCTCAGAGAGAACAGGACTGAAAAATATATTTGAAGCTCAGCTCTGAACATCTTGGAGCCACGACAGGGAGCCCAAAACGGAGAAACCCTGGACCTAAAGAGCTGTGGATAAAAAAAAGTGCCCCTGCAAAAAGGGGGTTTTGTTCACAGTATGAGCTGCAGTGCTGCAGAGCACTGAGGTGGGATGGGGCCCCAGGCAGGCAGGGGCACAGGCTGGAGACTTCAGCAGCTTCACCCGAGGACTGGGAGTCCAGCCTGGCCATGGATACACCAAAATCCCACTTCCCTCAGCCCTTTCCCCACACAGGCAGCAGCCAGAGTCAGTCCCCAAAGCAGTTATGGCTTTCCAGCATCAGGAAGGAGCCCCAGAAGGGTTCAGGGCAGGGCTGGCTCAGCCCTGCATCCCCAGCGTTGAGCAAGGGGTACCCCAAACCCACCATCCCTGAGGATGGAGCCATGCCCAGGATCTGCCCCATCCTGGAGCAGCCACGGGCAGGGAAGGACCCACCCCATGGAAAACAATCGCCCATCCCAGCCCCGTCCCTGCCGGCAGGGTCAGTGCAGGACCTGCTCCAGCTCGTACTTCTCGCAGAACTTGCTGGTGAAGGGCAGGCAGGTGAGGTACTCCACCCAGCGCCAGTTGATGGGGTACACGTACAGCCACACCACCAGCGAGCCAAAGAGCCCCACGAAGACCAGCAGGGACACGATGATCATGGCCCGCTTGCGGTACTTGTCCACCGTGCCGAAGGTGATGTAGGGCAGGAAGGCGAAGGACAGCAGGAGGCCGCTCAGGAAGCCGAAGAGGTGAGCGATGTTGTCGATCCAGGGCAAGAGGCCGCAGATGAAGAGGAAGAGAACGATGCCAAAGAGGTTGAGGAAGGCTTTCCAGGGTTTCTCCAGCACTTGCCAGCTTTGGAAGAGCTCCACGAAGAGGCAGGCCAGCAAGCCGAACTGGGACCCGGCAGGGCCCACCTGCAGGGATGGGGGAAGTCAGGGCTGGACACTGTGTCACCCCAGACACACCTCACGTCCCCCAGGGATCCTCTCCTCCCCTAGCAAAGTGCATTTGGCTCCTGCATCCCTGTGCAGGATTCTGCATGGGGCTCAGGGGTGGGACCCTGGCACAGGGGGATGAGGAGGGAAGCAGGGTGGTGCTGTTTTGGCAGAGCTGATACTTTCTGTGACTCAGCAGCCAGACAGCATCACCCCCTCCCAGATCACAGCCCCATCCTGGCACACCTGTGGGGGGATTAGGGCCCTTGGCATGATCTCATTTAAAGCCTGACAGGGTTTGGCTGGCAGCAGATTAGCCATCTGCCTGCCCAGGGACCCTGCACGCTCACGGACACGTGGTGACATGTGACACACACGGCATGTGCCAACACCACACGTGGGACAGGGACACCTCCCCATCTCCCACAGCAAACCCTGCCAGGGGGTGAGAATCTGTGCTCCAGCCCCTTCCCCAAATCTCTGCCCGGGATGGGGATGGAGAGGGGTTTCCTCTGGTTCCCTGGGAGCTGACAGGATTTGGGACAGAGCCCCCAAACCCTCACCTCTGCCCTGTAGGGTAGGAAGATGGCACTGGCCAGGTTGCCCGTAATGCCGCTGAGGATGAAGATGATGGAGATGCGATGCCAGCCTGCCAGCTTCTCCAGATCCCGCAGCACCGTCATCTGGAACGTCACCGACACCAGGCAGTGGATGATGCTGGGGAGAGGCCCTGGGTTAGAGATCCCTGCCCAGCCCTCCCACCCAGTGCCCCAGGGCATGAGACAACTCACAGAACACCCCCACGGAAGGCACCTGTCACCATAGTCTGGGGGTGCCCTTCCCTCTTCTCTCCCACCCCATCCCTGGGCTACGGGGGGCTCTGGCTCACCCGGCATGCAGGAACAGGGACAGCCACAGGCGGTAGAACTGGTCAGGGACCTCCGGGTTCAGGAAGGGCAGGAGCCCACAGACCTCGTCCAGGCAGTGCACCTGCAAAGGCACAGGTGAGCAAAGGATGGGTCACAGGGATGGGTTGCCAATGATGCCATGTGGCAGCTGTGAGGGGATTCTGGATGGTGTGGGGCACCACACCAGCAAGGTGGGCACAGCAGCAGGAGCCCAGCCAATAGCTGGGAAAGCCTCTGCACCTTGCATCACCCCTGCTCACGCCCATCCCAACCACATCCCATTCCTGGTAGGATACTTCAAAGCCTTTTGGCATCAGCATGGCTGCTGGGGTTGTACCCTGCCATGCCTCCCTGGCCCTGCTCACCTGCGAGCAGAGCGTTGCCTCCTCGTGGAAGTAGCCGTGCATGAAGTCGCAGTACTCCCGCGTAGTGATCTCGCAGCTGGCAGGGGGCAGGAGGGGGCTCGCTGGGGGCAGGGCACACTCAGGACACCCCTGAGCATCCCCCTCTGCTCCCAGCCTGCTGCTACTGTGCTTCCCACTCCTCAAGGTTCTGTAACCTCCCTCTGCCCCCAGGCACAGCTCTGGGCACTGATGGGACAACACGAGGCAGGAGTGCAGAGCGGGGAGCCAAGCCAGGTGTCCCCTTTGCCGCGACCCACCTGCCCTTGGTGCCGATGCAGCAGGGCCTGCCCTTGATCTCGCAGTCCAGGTGGGCAAAGCCCGTGTGGTTGGTTTTGGTCTCGTAGGTGCAGATCTAGAAGCAGGAGGGAAAGGAGCACTGGTCAGAGTTCCAGGGCTCCAGGCTGTCCCTGCAGCCCCCTGCTGGGCTCATTGCCACCGCCACCATGGAGCCACCAGCTGATGGTGGCACCAGGCTCTTACCGGCCACTTGGTGATGTCGTCTGGCCACACATGGGGTGGGTTGGATGCTGGCTCCTCACATGTCCTGGCAGGAGGAGGGAGGTGAGTCGGCTGTGTCCCCCAAACACATCCCCCCCTGCAGAGCAGTAACCCCTTCAGGCACAGACTGCTCTGGGACCTGCCTTGATCCTGCCCACAACACCCCACAGCAGCTCCTTCTGTAGGGGAACTCTGAGCTGCTGGACAACCCCACTGATGCCCACAGATGTTCCCATCCCAGCAGGACAGGGACAAGCACAACAGCATCATCTGCTGCTGCCTGTGTTTAGGACAGGCCCCACCTCAGTTTCCCCCATTTCCCTCTTCTTTATCACTCTCCTATGGTGTGAAAAAGCCTTCCATATCCTCAGACAAGAGGATTCAAGGCATCCAAGGTGGATAGGCAGCCCCTTCTGCCATGTCCCACACACAGCCAGGTGACCTGGCCACCTCCACGCAGCTGCTACTTCTACCTGGGGTCCTGGTGACACACA